AACAAAGCCCGGCAGGAACAATTCAGAGCGGGGCGGTTGAGACTGACCAGTGCAGGGACCGAGTTTCACCCCAGCTCCACCTCCTCTAGAGCCCTCCATGCTCTCAGAGCATCACCTTCCCCATTCCCCGATGCGGGGTCTTGCTCACAGGGCCATCCCAAGGATTAAATAAAACGACCAGGTTGAGCCTGCAGACCAAGCCCGGACCACAAGTAACCAACACACAGTACTGTCCTTTGCGTTACGGTCAGGCTTGGTAAGGGTTTGTCAAAGGAATGAATAGGAAAGTAAATAAAAGATTGAACAGACATACCAGCCAGGGGGGTGCACTGCCCAGGCGGCACCCCTTGGTGGGGGGGAGAAATTTCTCTGGGGCGCTTAGCTGTCACCTTTCGTCCCTCGGCCACAGATACGGGTGGCCTGAGGGAAGCGTGGGCCCTCACACCTGCACGCGAGCTGCCAATCGTACTCTGCTTGCCTGCAGGTCTTTCACAGAACACAGGGTCCCCTCCTCTTGCCCGGTCTTTGTCTTCAAATGTGGACACAAGATGAAAGTTTCCAAGAACGCGGGCACAGCAGCTCGTGGAGACGAAAATGCACAGCCGGTGCCTCCCAGGTGGCTCTTCTGGACGCAGAGCTGCAGGAGGCTGAGCACTGAAGCATAAATACCCTCCCCCGTGGCCGGGGGAGGGGGCGAGGGTCCAAACAGCCGCCAACGCCAGCAGCCTGTGCCCAAAGGAGGCTGCCAGGTTGCTGCCAACAGAGGTCAGGGCCAGGGACGTCCCTGGACGGTGGAGGAAGGGGGCGCGGCCCAGCCCGGGAGGGCCACGTGCGCACGTGTGCGCGCGAACAGCTGAAGGGTGGGCTCCGCGAGCAGCTGGCACGGCCTCACTTCCTGCTGAGGGTTTGCAGCCACAGCCCTAAGTGCCACGTTGGTGCCTGACCTCTTCTGTTTCTTATCAGGACAGAATGCCATATTTAGAAAGGTTTAGAAATAATTTCAAAGATGAGACTCAGAGAAGCTTCACATAATGAAAGATCAAGTGATGGAGTCGAGAGTGGCAAGTCCCAGAATTCCTAATAAAGAGGAGGCATTTGGGGGCACGACCAGGCTTCACAGGCACAGCGGCACAGCAGTGGGGACTCTATAGACAGAGCTTTTGCCAAAGCAGGTTGTGGCTACAGGGGTGGGGTGTGGGGACGCTTTCTTGGGTGTACTGGGGGTCTTTTGAGGGGTTCCCTTTCCTTTGGTACCCTGACAGGTAAGGCTATGCTTTCTAAACCCCCTCAACTGCTGACAAGTGCTGTGGGGACAGAACCAGAAACCAGCTGGTGAGCGGGGCAAAGACTAGAGGAACATCCACTTGTGGCACTTGGAGACTGGTCGCTCTGGCCCCTCACCCACAGGAGGACAGCCGTCTGGGCACTGAGGACATTCATGCTGGCCCTCACCCGTCCTTTCTCCCCTGGTGCCATCGGCTGTTCTGGCTCAGGGCCTGCTGCAGCCCGGACTGGTCTCCCTCCAAATGCCCTCCCAGACTTTGGTCACCACCAGGTCAACTGGGCTTTATCAGTCGTTAAGCCTGAAAGCACCCACCCTGGTCTAGGACAAGAACACGGTGAGCCAGCGGGACGCTGGGAGGGAGCACGATTCTCTGGGTATTTGGGATCAGAAGAGAGGTTTGAGTTCCTTTCCACAGAGGCTCCAAGAAGGGAGGAAAGACCCTACTGAGACATTAAACCAATCAAGGCCAAAACTGCCAACCCTCTTGATGAACCGGAGCCAGTGTGCAGTGGTGAGAACGTGGCCTCCGCGTCAGGCCAGCCTGGGTGGGAGTTAGCGGCTCCCCTGGGCTGCGTGTCCAATCTCTCCCCTGTAAACCGGGGACAATGACAGCCCATGCCGACCTCACAGGGGTCCCCATGAAGAGAGCTGGCGCAGAGGCAGTGCTCTGAGCCACGTGACAGTGGGCTTGTCTGTCACCTCTATCGTCACGCCTTTCACACCGTTACCCATGGGACACTGCAGTGAGCCACGTGTGTGGAGAGCACCCAGGCTGCTCATCTCCCTACCATCAGTGCGTCACTGGGTTGCTCTCACCCCAACTTCTAGGGCCATGGAGAAATAGAGATGCACTAAACACAGGCTAGAGGAGAAGGGACAGGGCTGGTGGTGCCTGATGCCACTCGCCAATGATGGTGCATCTGCCCTACTCCCTCCCTCCCCAGCTGCCCCAGCTCCCAGCTGCCCCAGCTCCCAGCTGCCCCAGCTCCCAGCTGCCCCAGCTCCCAGCTGCCCCAGCTCCCAGCTGCCCCAGCTCCGAGACTTCCCCGCAGCTGAATGCTGGGCGCATGGCCACAAGTGATGACCTTTTAACAAATTCACATACTAACAAAGAGTCAACATCTAAATAGACTTTTATTTTTTCTTTTACTTATTTGGACAGAAAAGTCATCAGCTTTCATTCGAGTCTCCCTAAGTGTTGGGAACACATTCAACTCGGAAACAGCAGACCTCGTAGAAAAGCATCACAAATTAAAAATATATTTCTCCACGTGGTAAAAGTGCTTTCAACCCAATTAAAGGACACGGCAAAGGTGTTTGGAAACACAATTTAAAATGTGGCCTACAATCCGTGGCATTGAGTGAGAACCAGGGACAAGGGTCGTCATCGGAACCGAGGACACGAGAGTAGCGTGGAGTTTGGGGCATGCTGCCAGCAACACGGTTAATTAACTGAGTGTGTACACGGAAAAACGTCCCAAAGCCTGAGTAGAATAGATCCTGCACTTATAAAAATGAGGGGGTGACAAATTGGACCAAAGGGGATCATGTAACTTGTTTCTTGTCTGCGGGGACAGCAGACCCGTCAGCCACTGTGGCTGATGGCTCCCATGGAGACACGTGGACTCTGGTTCAGAAAGAGCCCCAGATGTTTTGGGGAATAGTGGGCCCTGGCGGCCAGCTGCTTGTCATGTAATCTTTTCCGTCCTACGGTGAGCAGGCCCCTGGCCCCTCGGAGAATCACACAGCCGACTAGCAGCCCACCCCTGTGAGGTCTGCAAAGCCAGCCACACCATCCCCGGTTGCTCACTGCGCACAAGGGGAAGAGCCTTAGCAAGGGGTCATCCGTAGAGACGTTCTGCTGTCTGTTTCAGCAATGCTACATATTTTTCCAAACAAGCAATTCTGCCAATGATAAGGTCTGTGACAAAGCTTACGACCCGCAGGCCCCCATGGTCCCTGGTGGAGGTGACCACGTCTGTTCTGGAAGCGAGCTGCCCATTCTGGCCCTGGCACAGGCGCAGGGCGCAGAGCACAGAACCGTGGTCATGCAAGGAGCCGTGACTGGGTTAGGCAAGAGGGTGGGGGTGGACAAGAAGGGAGACAGTTTCCTTTTACTGAAGATCGTAAGCAACAGTAAGAAAATAACCTGAAGATATATTTAAAAATAAAAAATAGCATCACACTTCACTGCGACTGTTGGCATTTCCCCTTCCTTCCCTGTCCACAGGCCAAACACAACCTGAGCAGGAGGCCTCACTCATCCGCCAGAACCGGAACCCCTCCCCCACCCGTCACTGCGTTTTAATGGCACCCAATGTGTTTCTTCTCCCATGAGACCTGCTCTAAACCGCTCGCACAAAGCAAATTCCAGAAAACCCTCTGGTCTACACACACCCGAACCATCTCAGTGGTACAGAGCCAGTCTCTACTTGCTCACATGGCATGAAAGGGAACCATGTTACAAGTGTCTGTAGCGCCTTACAAAGCAGGCAGTTCTAGCAAAACATGCTATGGCTCGTCCTGTGCCTGGCACCGTTGGTGGGAACACCTTCCCAGGCCCCGGGCTGATCTCTCCCGCGCTCCTTGGGTGTCTTGAGGATGGGACGCCCGCTGAGGCAGTAGCGCTGGCAGCACGTGGCAGGTGGAGTCCAGGCGTGGCGCCCCATCCTTGCACAGCGCCCCCATGAGCTGGTGGCCACTTCCCAGAGGGAGGACATGCTCTTCTTTCGAATGGAAACCAGGACAGCAGTCATCCCCTGACCAGGTCCGTCGGGTCCCTGCAGAGGCCGTGAGCGCCCCTCCCAGGCTGTGGCCACACCAGCGCGTCCCCGCCTCCAGGCCGGCAGGTGGGAATGGCAGGCT